ATTATTGAACCATATTTAATATCATGATTAATCCAAATTAGCATCTGTTCTTGGGGCTGGCACTGTGACTCAGAGTTAGTTAATCCACTGCTTGCAACACCAGCATCCCATATGAGCACCAGTACAAGTCCTGGCAGTTCCACTTCTGATCCCGCTTCCTGCTAATACACCTGGGAAGGCAGCTGAAGACAGTCCAAGTACTTGGGCCCCTGCCACCCATGAGGGAGATCCTGGTGGAGTTGCAGGCTCCTGGCTTTGGCCTGCCCCAGCCCAGCCGTTGTGGCCATTCGCAGAAAAAACAGCAGATGGAAGATCCCCCCCCCCCCCCAGTAACTCTGCTTTCAAATAATAAAACACATCTTTTTAAAAATCAAATCAGTTATTTACTTATTCATTTTATTACAACTACTAGCATTATGGGTGCATCCCATAGAGTAAGTCGAGGGTGAGATATGACCTGCTCATCCTACAGCGTATCAAAGCCACAAAGAAAACACCTGCTCTTGGACATGGTTGCTGTCTCTGGACACAGGATCAAAAACGAAGCACATGAGCACTGCATGAACTCGGAAACAGAGTTTCTGAAAACTATACCCAAATTTGGCCAGAAACATTTGGCTACAACCACTCAGCCAGATTCTTGCTCTAGGAGAGAATGGACTCTGGAAACAAGATGTCACCAGTTCCCAGACCACTCTAAGCCTGCGGCAGCGCTGAACTCAAAGGCGTTTATCGCTGGCAACACCCATGGCCTCAGGGTGAGTGTCAGCAACTCACCCATCCACACCTACTACATATACCACGTCCTGAAGAAATTCAGAGGCCTGAGCAGGTGTTTTTGCCAGCTTTTTATCATTAGAACAAAATACCTGAGAAAACTAACTTCAGGGGGCCTCTGCACCCACGTGGGAGCCCTGGAAGAAGCTCCTGGCTCCCGGCTTCGGATCGTGCAGCTCCAGCCACTGCAGTCACCTGGGGAGTGAACCAGCGGACGGAAGACCCCTCTCTCTCTCTCTCTCTCTCTCTCTCTCTCCTCCAACTCTGCCTTTCAAATACATAAATAATCTTTAAAAAGAAAACTAACTTCAGGAAGAAAAAAGGATTACTCTGCATCACGCCCACATTGGGCAGCCCCATGGTTCAGGCCGCTGAGGGTCGAGGCAGGGAACGGAGCTCAGGTGGAGGAGGGCTGCAGGGCAGCTGAGCCAGGAAGCTACAGAGCAACGGGGTCCAACCGGGCTCCAGCAACCAACCCCGCTGAGAACCACCGTCGGAAGGCAGCCCCACGCCCTCAGCATCATCACTGCATTAAGCGGGCACGTCCGTTCAAACCACAGCTCCGCTCTCCCTCTAACTCCCCGACTGCTCTGAGGCCGTTCCTGGGACCGCGCTACGAGAACTGAACGGAAGATGCCAGAAGCCAGGAACGCAGTTCCAGCTGCTCAAGGCCCCAGCGGGCCACCCAGCCACGGAGCGCACGACGAAGGTGGAAGCAAAAATCCTTCCCCTTAAACAAGTACCTGAGCGCCAGGCTCCCCCAGACGTTTAAGCAGCCTCCCCTTGCTCTTCGGTTCTGGGAAAGACGAAACCCCTAGCGCCTCACCGACTTGTCTGACGTCACTGGGGCTCTCGGGCTGCTTCGGTCACCAGCCCTTCCCACTTCCGGTCACAGCCCGCCTCACTTCCGGTCACAGCCTGTTCCACTTCCGGCAGGACTCTCCGCATGGTTCGGGTGTGGCTAGAGTCGCCCCCAGTCCTCCCGACGGACACCTGGACACCTCCCTCCCTGCCTTTTGCTCCCGCTGTACCACTCCCTAGAATTTTCAGTAAGGACCTCTCTCATGGCTGCTCTCATCCCGCCTCTCCCTCTGCCCTAGGAGTGCTACAAGACCAAGTCCAGAGCCCAGCACAGAGCCAAGGACAGGGACAGGGCACGCCTGAATTCAGACACTGAATACATCCAAGATTGGCAGCACCAGTCAGGCCGCTAGTGTCCACGCCCTGAGGAATCGTACTTATGCGTCATTGGTCTTTTTCTCTGTATGTATCTGTGTATACACACCTCTATCCATTTTCCTCACCAGTTTGAAATCCAAGAAGACAAGTTTACAAACTATATTGGTTCATGGTGTCTTACCACCCAAAATAATTCTTTGGTGATTTAAATATTTTTTATTAATGAATACATTATGAACCAATGTTTTATAACAAGTAATAAATACAATTATTAATTTTGGCAATTACAACACTATGTGCCTGATTAATATAAACACCAGGTCCTGTGAAACAATACAGTGGGGACTTTTATGCAAACCAGCAAAGAACAAAAGGAATTTCAACAATAACATATAAGTAACTGTTGTAACAATCTAAGAAAATTAGAAAGCTAGGCACAATGACTTGGCTGCACACAATGACTTTTTTCCCCTCAATGGATTTATGAGAATTTTCATCCTACAGAAACTAGCTTTTGCCCATTTCTGTATCTGCAAGCCACTGGAGTGCATACAGTGGTAGAGAGAGAGGAGACTGTAAGTGAGACGTCACTATCCCCAGATGAGTAATTTTTCCCTTCTACACATGATGCTTGTTTAAACAAGAAAACTGCTGGAAACATTCCCTAGTATGAATTATACTCACCACTATCGCTGTTTCTTGTCCTTTCAAAATCATCACTTAGAGGTTGAGAGGAATGCCAATGTATGAGCTCATCAAACTCTCTCTTCTTAGAAAGACAGGTGATAGCTGGGTCATCACTGCGTGGGAGGGAGGGAGTATAATTTAGAAAACACATGTGTAGGTCAGTGTTCAACTAAGACCCCACTTGAGATGCTTGTATCCCATACCCAGGCACCTCGGTTTGTGTCCCCTCCCATTCTGATTGCAATTTCCTGCTAACCCACAATGGAAGGCAGCTGATGATGGGTCAAGTATACTTGTGGTGAGACCTGGATTGGATTCCAAACGCCTTGCTTCCACCTGGCCAACCCCTGGTGTTGCAGGCATTTGGGGGTGAATTAGCAAAGGAAGACCTCTCTCTCTCTCTCTCTCTCTCTCTCTGTGTGTGTGTGTCTCCCTCTCTAACTTTCAATAATAAATAAATCTTTTTTAAAAAGCAGCGTTTTTATTTGTGTGTATGTATGTGTATTTGTGTAATATTTCAAACATAGAGAAAATATTAGAGAATAAATGATAACCATGAATCTACCATGCATTCATTCATAGACATCCATTAAGTCCTAATTATATGCCAGAAACTCTTATGGATGCTAAGAACATATCGCGTACAAAATAGAATAAAAATCTCTTCAATGAGTGTTTATTTATTTATTTTATTTGAAAGGCAGAGAGACAGACAGTGCCCACCACTGGTTACTCCCTACCTGGGGCTGGCCCGGGCTAAACTGGGAGCCAGAATTTAATCCAGCCTCCCACATGGGTATCAGGAATTCAACTACCTGAACCATCACTGCTGTCTTTCAGGGTGCACGGAAACATGGCACCAGAATCGGGAACAGAGCCAGGAAGTGAATCTAGGTGCTCCTAGAAGCACAGGCATGTTAAACACTAGGCCAGACATGAGCCCTTTACAGAGTTCATGTGTTCAGAGACTGACAGACAATAAAGATACCAAAGGTAAAATACACACTGTGGTAGATGGTGCGTGATACAGATTAAAATCACACAGAGAGACAGAGGAGGAGGAGGAGAAGGTGCCACTTAAGCAGAGTGGTGAAGAATGCCTGGCTGAGAAGCTATGGGAGCAGAGGGTACAAAGTTCTGGCTCAGAACATTGCCAACCAACAGAAACACAGGCAGAAAGGCTGTGAGGGGCCAACGCAGTGGCGCAGTGCCAGCATCCCATATGGGGGCCGGTTCAAGTCCTGGCTGCTCCACTTCCGATCCAGCTCTCTGCTGTGGCCTGGGAGAGCAGTGGAGGATGGCCCGGGTGCTTGGGCCCCTGTGCCTGCATGGGAGACCCGTGGGAGGCTCCTGGCTCCTGCCTCCACATCAGCTCAGCTCTGGCTGTTGCAGTCCTTTGGAGGTGAACCATCAGATGGAGGGCCTCTCTCTCTCTCTCCCTCCCTCCCTCTCCCTCCCTCCCTCTCTTTCTCTCTGCCTCTACCTCTCTGTGACTCTGTCTTTCATATAAATAAAATAAACCTTAAAAAAAAATAGAAAGGCTGTGAGCTGGGAGAGCAATTGTGTACAAGAACAGCGGGGCCAGCCTGGAGGAGTACTCAGAGGGGGACAGATTAGGCTCAAATGAGGTTAAGGGGGCAGGGAGAGTAAGACAGAGGACAGAGCAGCAGATCCTGGAGTCCTTTCCATCTGAGGGAGTCAGGCTCCTTAGCAGGTTTGAGCAGGGAGAAACAAACTGATCTCTCCCCGCAGTGCATGTTTGGACACCACTGTGAAGAGATCACTTGGGGTGATGGGGGGCCGATTGCACAGCTACAGGGTGAGCAAGGAAGGCCAGGCTCTGGAAGCATCTTGCAGGAACAGATTTCGCTGCCAGATTAGATGAGAAACAGAAAGGGAAGTCAAGGACATCGCCAAGGATGATGAGAAAAACATGGAGAGAGAAGAGAGAATGATAGAGACGCACAGAGGGACCTCCAGGTGCCTGTGAGGTCAGACAGTGGGCGCTGGCATTGCACACAGTGAGTTTACAGGGCCCAGGAGACAGCAACTGAGAGCAGATTCAAGATACGAGTCATGGGGTCAGTGCCATGGGGCAGCAGGTAAAGCCGCCGCCTGCAGGGCCAGCATCCCATAATGGCGCCGGTGCGAGACCCAGCTGCTCCACTTCTGACCCATCTCTCTGCTGTGGCCCGGGAAAGCAGTGGAAGATGGCCCAAGTGTTTGGGCCCCTGCACCTGCATGGGAGACCCGGAAGAAGCTTCTGGCTCCTGGCGTCAGATCAGCCCAGCTCTGGCCATTTGCAGCCATCTAGGGAGTGAACCAGTGGACGGAAGACCTCTCTCCTCTCTCTCTCTCCTCTCTCTGCTCTGCCTCTCTGTAATTCTGCCATTCAAATAAATAAATAAATCTTAAAAAAAAAATACATGAGTCACAGAATTTTCAGCCAATTCTTATCTGGTAGCTGGAGTTAAGAATTTGATACTTGCGACAGTTCATCCTCAAGTCATGAGATTGGTTGACCAAGGAGATGGCAACTCATTTTGATAACTGATAATTTTTTTCCAGGTTTGTTTCAGATTTCATTGATTTAAAAAAAATAAGGGTTGGCGCTGTGGCTCACTTGGTTAATCCTCCAGCCTGTGGCACCGGCATCCAATATGGGCGCCAGGTTCTAGTCTCAGTTGCTCCTCTTCCAGTCCAGCTCTCTGCTGTGGTGCAGGAAGGCAGTGGAGGATGGCCCAAGTGTTTGGGCCCCTGCACCCGCATGGGAGACCAGGAGGAAGCACCTGGCTCCTGGCTTCAGATCGGGCACAGCTCTGGCCATAGCGGCCATTTGGGGAGAGAAACAACGGAAGGAAGACCTTTCTCTCTGTCTCTCTCTCTCATTGTCTAACCCTATCTGTCAAATGAAGAAAGAAAAAAATAAACCACTGTAGATATATTTGAAGCCCCCTATATATTTCTCAGAAATTCCATTCTTCTCTTTTTTTATGTTTATGTCTTTTTTTTTTTTTTTTTTTTTTGCCTTGAAAGAATCAGAGAGCGAGAGACAGAGACAAGAGACAGAGATAGAAAACAATCTTCTATCCACTGGTTTTCTCCTCAAATGCCCACACAGCCAGGGCTGGGCCAGGCCAAAGCAAGGAGCCAGAACTCCATCCAGGTCTCCCAAGTGGGTGGCAGGGGACTCATGGACCTTAACCATCATCTGCGGTCTCCCAGGATGCACATTAGCAGGAAGCAGGATTGGAAGTGGCAGTGGCCGACCCTTGAACCAGGCACTCTGATTGCAGGCATCCCAAGTGGTGAGTTAAGCTGCTGCATCAAAGACTACCCCTCATTCTCTCTTCTAAGAAGCAGCTTCTTCCTTATATGTATAATCATGCCCATAGCACGATATAAATGTGCATACATTACAAGTAGTGTGCCCCTGGCCGGCGCCGCGGCTCATAGGCTAATCCTCCACCTAGCGGCGCAGCACACCAGGTTCCAGTCCGGTCAGGGCGCCGGGTTCTTTCCCGGTTGCCCCTCTTCCAGGCCAGCTCTCTGCTGTGGCCCGGGAAGGCAGTGGAGGATGGCCCAAGTGCTTGGGCTCCTGCACCCCATGGGAGACCAGGAGAAGCACCTGGCTCCTGCCTTGGATCAGCGCGGTGCGCTGGCCGCAGCGCGCCAGCCATGGCAGCCATTGGAGGGTGAACCAATGGCAAAAGGAAGAAAAGACCTTTCTCTCTGTCTCTCTCTCTCACTATCCACTCTGCCTGTCAAAAAAAAAAAAAAAAAAAAAAAAAAAGTAGCGTGCCCATAAATGATATGAGAGTCACAACACTCTAACTTACTTAGCTACATAAGCAGTGTGGTTTGGAAATTCACCCGTGGATGTTGCATGGCTGTGTGTATGTATGTATGTGCAGTTATTTATTTTTACTGTGGAGTACTGCATTGTAAGAATATCCCACTACTGGGGCAGGCATTTAGCCCAGTGGTTAAAACACCCACATTGGAAATACCCGGATTCGATTCCTGGCTCCAGCTCCTGACTCTGGCTTCCTGTAAATGCAGACACTGGGTGGGCAGCAGCTCCAGTCCAAACCCAGTTATTGCAGGCATCTGGGGAGTGACTCAATAGAGGAGAGCTGTGTGTGTGTGTGTGTGTGTGTGTGTGAGTCTCTCTCTGTTTCTTTCTCTGTGTGTCTGTGTCCGCCTCTCAACAAATATTTTTTAGTTTATATTCTGTTCCACAATATTCTTTTCCTTGTCCTACAGATGGCTTGCATCTATATAAACAATCCTGCAGTGACACTGATGCAAACTCACCTCACTCAAACATCAGAGTTTCTCCAGGGAAGCTGCAGGTTGCAGACACAGCACATCTTGAACCTGTGTAGCTTTTACTGGTTCTGTTTCTGCCACCAGCGTGCCCACTGCCTCACACCTTTGGCCTTACTTAGTCATAAATTTTATCAAAAGGAAGAGTGTTGAATAGGGCCTCGCTGTAGCTTTAATTTTCATTTCTTAGATGCACAAGGACCTTTAGATATCTTTTTACAGTTTTATGGGCCATTCCCCACTAGCTTCTCTATTAATGACCTATTTCTCCCTATTCCTATTTCTCTACTGTCTCATTCCTGTCTTTCTCAGTGAGTTCTAGGACATCTTTATCCTAAATCTTTTATGCTAACCCTGTGATGCTTATATACCTTCTAAATGACTTCCAAAATCTGTTTTGTTATTATTGATTTTTATAATGTCAAATGTATCCTTATTTTCCTAATGACTTGGAGTTTTATACTGTCTTTGAAGGCCATGACGTCTCTACTCTGGCACCATAAAGATATTTTCCTGTATTGTCTTCTGAAAATGTGACTGTTGTCTTTCACATTTAGATTTCTGACCACCAAGATTTGACTTATGGCATGGTGTTATGTACAGAGAGAGTTTGATTTTTTATAAATATAGATATTTTAAAACATACCATTTGCAAAGTAATTTGCTACTTTCACAAGGATTTGCTTTATTCTGTCTGCCATATACACATTTACATTTGGAATTTTTTCTGCTTCCTTTGTTATCTCTTCAGTTTGGCTAATTTTTCAACCAATTATCCTCTTACTCTCAGGCCTTTAATACACTTAACTGCTGTCTCAAGAACACCGTCCCCACTTCTACAACACGGAAACCTATGCCTCCAATGTGACACTGACAATTCTAGCAAATAAAGGTGTGGAACAACCTTACTTCATGTTAACTCCAATAATCCTGGCCAGCGCTGTGGCATAGCAGGTAAGCCACCATCTGCAGCACCGGCATCCCATAAGCGGTGCTGGTTCCAGTCCCAGCTGCCCCACTTCTGATCCAGCTCTCTGCTGTGGCCTGGAAAGCAGTGGAAGATGGCCCAAGAGCTTGGGTCCCTGTACCCGCATGGGAGACCTGGAAGAAAACTCCTGGCTTTCTAGGCTTCAGATTGGTGCAATTCCACCCATTGCAGCCATCTGGGGAGGGAACCAGCAGATGGAAGACCTCTCTCTCTCTCTTCTCTCTCTCTCTTCCCCTCTGCCTCTGCCTCTCTGTAACTCTGCCTTTCAATAAATAAATTAATTTAAAAAAAACTCCAACACCTTCTCTGCTGAATCACCTTGTCACAGCGCCACCACGCCCCTCCCCCAGGACCTCACCTACTCCCCAAATCCCTCCCCTTTTGTGCTGCAGCTAACGTAACCAAAATCACAATCACCACAGAACTGCCTGGAACCTATGACTGCTGACCATACCCACAACCAGTTACAATGACATCACTGCTGACACTTCACTGCCTCCACGTGCCTGACACCAGACTCTTCCAAGACTTCCTAAAAAGGCAAGTAAATGGGAGGTGCCCAAATATCGACTCTCCCCCTACCCCTGGAAAACCCTGCCCCACATAACACCTCCTATGAATATTCTATCCTTCCCATCTCTCAAGTTCATCTAAAAGAGGTAACTCAAACCTCGCTGGGTGCAGCTCACTCTCAGGTACACCTGCGCTTCCTGTTGAGTGTGTACTTTCACTTTATGGATAATCAGTCTTATTCCTCTGCCAACCTTTACTCACATCTAAAGATCAAATTCTTTCTTGCATTACAGATAAGAACCTGAACCCAGCCACCCAACAATTCTCTTTGTCACCTCCTTGTTCTCACTGATCATTTTTGCTGACTTTAAGATCCACATAGATGATGTATCCAACATCAGGCCTTGAATTTTTATGGTCTTGCTACAGCCACACCTCAACAACCCACTGCTTTCATTATACTATTAATTATGCTGACATTATTATGGAGAAAAAGGTAAAGATATGTAAGCGGTGTAGAGTCATTTAAAGCAAACACATAAATGTTTTTAAAATCATACCAATCAATCAAGTTGAAAAAAAAGTATCTCTCAATGTGAATTTTCACCACATACAATAGATGCAGTCCACCATACTCAAAGATATTTGGCATTGTAATCCATAAGCTGTACTTTGGAAATTTATATTCATTAATAAAAGTTTAAAAAAAAGATATTTGGTTACAGCCACAGAGCTATTACAAGCAAGATAAATACCTGCTTACAAAAGGTAGTTCGGACCAAATATCTCCAGCGTAATCTTCTATAACCTCGGATTTCAGAGGAATTAGTCCAAGCTTGGGAATTTCTTGATTTGATCCTGGCAATATTCAGAAATACAATTGATATTTGAACACTAAACTCTAATTAAAATTCACCATTCTGATGCAGGCATTTCTGCAATAGCGAAACTAAGCCTAAGTAATCTAAGTAATCTCTCATTACCAAATAAATAGAAACTGAATAGAATTTCTACAAAGTAGACGTTCAAATCACATTTCTGCTCCACATATTAAGTCCACAAATGTAAATACTCATAGGTGTAGATTTCAAAATCTGGCAAAATGTAAGTTTGTTTTAAAATTCCATTTTCCATTAACTATTTAAAGTGTGAGGATACTAAAAGATAAGTTCATTTTGGTGCAAAGTTGTTTGAAATCCCACATAGTTTTTTCCCTAATACTCATTTTCCATTAATTTTTTTGAAAGCTCCTCATATCTGAATGGAGTTAGGTAGAATTTATTTTAAGAGTCAAAGAATCACTATGTAACCTAGAAAAGACAAATATTTATTCTAGACCACAGAAAGATCTCTGCTTATTTTTCCATAGGTCAAACCAAGAGAAATAAATTTGTTTAATAAAAATGTTTTAAATTTAAACATCGGTACCAACAAAATGCATTAATTTATTTCCACATCTCGGGCTAGCGAAAATTCAAAAGAACTTTTGTATATTTCATTCAAATCCCAAACCTTTTTCTGCATGAATGGACTCATCTGATGTGTCAATCACAACACCTTAAGACCTATTTAAATTTAAGCTACTTCTTCATAGAGCTTTAGGGAAAAAGTTGCCTTTGGTAAAAAAAGTAGTAAAGCTATGACAACGTTTTCTGTACCTGACTACGGAGACAGACAGACACGGATTCAAATCCTCTCTCTTCCATGAATTTGCTGTGTGATCTACAACAACCTTCCCAAGATCTTACCTCTAAAATGAGATTGATAATACCACCAGCAAGGTTGATTGGGAAACCAACTAGAAAAATAAATAAAAACAATCGCAAGGCAAAGGAGTTGCTAGAGGAGTAGAAGCTATTCAGTATGACTATCCAGCCAAAAGGCAAAACTTATAAAGACCAGACCTATTTTCTAAACAAGGATTGCACTGCTAATCTCTTTCCATCTGGAATGAGATCCACTTTTAAAAAACTACTGGGGCTGGCACTGTGGTGCAGCAAGTTAAAGCTGTTTGCAACATCAGCATCTCATGAGTGCTGTTCCAGCTGCTCCACTTCTGATCCAGCTCCCCTGCTAATGCTCTTGGAAAAGTAACAGAAGATGTCCCAAGTGCTTGGTCCCTGTCACCTCAGTTGGAGACCTGGATGGAGTTTCTGACTCCTCGCTTCAGCCTGGACCAGCCCAGTGGTTGCAGCCATTTGGAAAGTGAAAAAGCAGATGGAAGATCTCTCTCCTCTCCCTCTCTCTCTCTGTGCCATTTTGTCTTTCAAATAACAAGCAAATCTTTTCTAGCAAACTGCCAGCACCTTTAGGCAATGTTTCCTTCTGTGTAAGGAACAGTCTGGAAGTTGTCCTCACGGGCATGGAGTCTCCAAAGTCACCACCCTCTGACAAGCTAACGTTGTGTTCCACAGCTTGTGATATGCGTGCATCAGAGCGTCACCCAATTCCAAGTCCGAGTCCTAGGGAGGAGAAGTAACAGATTCCAATTCATAATCAAAGTCTGAATTTATGTGTTACAGGTGTCTGAGTTATTCAAGTTTATAGTTACTAGCTTCTAATGTTAGATGCTTAATGCAGGACAGAATATGATATTTTCATTACGTACTCAATATTTGAAGACTGCTAGAGCAAAAATAAAATTGATACTGCTATTGTTATATTTTTCTGCCACAAAAAAAAAGCAGGGAGCAGCATTGTGGCACAGTGGGTCAAGCTGCCACTTGTAATACTGGCATCCCATCCTGGACACCTGTGATACTGGCATCCCATATTGGAGCACTAGTAGGAGTTCCGGCTGCTCTGCTTCCCATCCAGCCTCCTGCTAACACTCCTGAGAAAGGAGCAGATGATGGTCCAAGTGCTTGGGCCCCTGCCACCTGCATGGGAGATCCAGGTGGAGCTCCAAGCTCCTGACTTTGGCTGGGCCCAGCCCTAACCATTGTGGCTATTTGGAGAGTGATCCAGCATATGGAAGACACACACACACTCTCTCTCTCTCTCGCTCTCGCTCTCACATGCACACATGAGTGAGCATCCTTCAGAAATGCTCCAAGCTGGTACGCCACTTCAGTTTCCATGGGAACAACATCTTATCTGAAGCAGCCAGCAGCAAAGCTACATTGTCATTTTCCAACACATACACAAATCTGGTGTAGGAGGGTTCTTCAAAAACTGTATGGAAAAATGGAATTAAAATTTGATTCTGGTGCAAAAAAAATTGAAATCTATGCATAAGGTGTTCTTCATACTCATTTTCCACAAAGTTTTTGGAGATTCCAGAAATTTTTATACCAAAATCAACTTATTTTATTATACTTTACTTCTTGCATTTTTAATTAACATGCAATACTTGCACACCATTATGGTGCATGGTGCAATATTTCAACAGTGAAAGCTGATCAAATCGGGAAATCAGCATGCCCACCTCCAGCTCCTCTCCACACTGTGCAATGCAGTTATTATGGCTACGGTCTCTCCCTGTGCTGTGCAACACTAGGACCAGTTACTTCTGTCTAGTGGGGATTTTAGACCCTATAGCCAACCTCCCTCTAATTCCCTCCCTCCATCCCCTCCAAGCACTACTGGTCACTATTCTAAGTTCAGATAGTCTCTTTTTTCTTTTCGTTCCACATAAGAAAGAAGATGTGGCATTTAATTCCATTATCCATGAACACTTTGAAGCACCTCATATGGAAGACACAGAATAAATTACAACTCCGTAGTTCCTTTCCAGTTATCTTCCTTTTTTCCCCAAGTAACTAATCAATTACCCCATAATTATTCAAAAAAAAAAAAAAAAACCTCTTATAAAGACCTCTCAACTGAACCTTGTGAAAATACAGACTTTCCAGGCCGGCGCCCGCGGCTCACTAGGCTAATCCTCCACCTAGTGGCGCCGGCACACCGGGTTCTAGTCCTGGTCGGGGCGCCGATTCTTTCCGGTTGCCCCTCTTCCAGGCCAGCTCTCTGCCTGTGGCCAGGGAAGGCAGTGGAGGATGGACCAAGTGCTTGGGCTCTGCACCCCATGGGAGACCAGGAGAAGCACCTGGATCCTGCCTTCGGATTAGTGCGGTGTGCCGGCCACAGCGCCAGCCGTGGCAAGCCATTGGAGGGTGAACCAATGGCAAAGGAAGACCTGTCTCTCTCTCTCACTATCCACTCTGCCTGTCAAAAAAAAAAAAGAAAGAAAGAAAGAAAGAAAGAAAGAAGAAAGAAAGAAAGAAAGAAAGAAAGAAAGAAAGAAAATACAGACTTTCCACAGAAAATATCTTCAGGGTGGTTGGCCAGCATCCCCATGGGCGCCAGTTCAAGCCCCAGCTGCTCCACTGCCAATCCAGCTCCCTGATACTGGCCTGGGAGAAGCAATATAAGATGACCCAAGTCCTTGGGCCCCTTCCACCCACACGGGAGATCCAGAAGAAGCTCCTTGCTCTGGGCTTCAGCCTGGCCCAGACCTGGCCATTGCAGGCATCTGGGGAGGGAACCAGGGAACCAGTGGATAGAAAATGTTCTCTTTCTCTCTCTCCCTCTTTCTCTCCCTCTATAACTCTGACTTTCAAATAAATACATCTTTTTAAAAAAAACATATCTTCAGAGAAACTTTTATGTAATTCAACCTAATTGATGCATGACTAACCCACTGTCATTATTTATTAGATACAATTCTCATTCAGGCATGGACAATGAATTTAAAAAACTATTTAATGAATAGCTATTAAAACATACCTCTGTGATACTCAATTTCATAATAATAAGCAATATTTTTCCATAAAATATTATCAGTTAAGTCAGGGAGGCCGGTGAAATCCACACTCCAATTATTTGTAACTTTTAATTGTTTTAGGATGAGAAATTCACATTGTTTTAGCTGGAAAAAATACAAAAGGACAAAAGAGAGAGAGGAACAGGTGTTAATGATATAAAATCTTCCAAAAATGTGACTGTGTCAATTAAGTTTCCCTGAGCATCATCTACTCCTTGTACAAAGACGAAGGACATACAGTGAAGACCAAGAGCTTAGAGCCAGTTACCTTCTTCCGGTCCATCCCATTGCAAAATAACAAGGGCAATATCCAAGGGGTCTTCAAAAAGTTTGTGGAAATTCACGATACCTTGTAGTTCCATGAAATTTTTAAAAAATATTTATTTATTGTGCTCGCTTCAGCAGCACATATACTAAACTATTTATTTATTTATTTGAAAGGCAGAGTTACAGAGAGGCAGAAGCAGAGAGAGAGAGAGAGAGAGAGAGAGAGAGAGAGGTCTTCCATCCACTGGGTCACTCCCCAGATGGTCACAATGGCTGGAGCTGCACCAATCCAGGAGCCAGGAACTTCTTTCAGGTCTCCCACGTGGGTGCAGGGGCCCAAGCACTTGGGTCATCTTCTACTGCTTTCCCAGGCCACAGCAGAGAGCTGGATTGGAAGTGGAGCAGCCAGGACTTGAACCGGCATCCATATGGGATGCTGGCACTGCAGGTGGCAGCTTTACCTGCTACACCACAGTGCCAGCCCCTTTCCATGAACTTTTTGAAATAACCGTGTATAACCTTTGAGGTATTTTTCAGTGCTAACATTAATTTTTTCTTCTGAACTCATCCCAATCATAATTTCAATAAATACTTCCTCATTGATTCGAACTAATAAATATATAAAAGTAGTGGGCATTTAACTGCTTTACTACAGATTTACAATTAAAAGTTGTTTATGGTATCATTTCAAGAGTTAGGTCTATGGGGCCTTTACTAGGCATCCCATATGGGTGCTGGTTGAAGTCTCAGACACTCTTTCTCCAATCCAGTTCCCTGCTGATGCACCTGGGAAAGCAGTGGAAGATGGCTTAAGGGCCGACACACTGTGGCGCAGTGGGTTAAAGCCCTGGCTTGAAGCACCGGCATCCCATATGGGCACCTGTTCGAGTCCCGGTTGCTGCTCTTCCAATCCAGCTCTTTGTTATGGCCTGGGAAAGCAGTAGAAGATGGCCCAAGTCTTTGGCCCTTGAACCCACGTGGGAGACCCAGAAGAAGCTCCTGGCTTCAGTCTGGGCCAGCCCCCACCATTGTAACCATTTGGGGAGTGAGCCTGTGGAAGAAAGATCTCTCTCTCTCTCTCTCTCTGCGGCCATTTGGGGAGTGAACCAGTGGATAGAAGACCTCTCTCTGTGTCTCTACCTCTCTCTGTAATTCTGTCTTTCAAAGAAATAAAATAAATCTTAAAAAAGAAGCGAGATCGGCCGGCACCGCGGCTCACTAGGCTAATCCTCTGCCTAGCGGCGCCGGCACACCGGGTTCTAGTCCCGGTTGCCCCTCTTCCAGGCCAGCTCTCTGCTGTGGCCCGGGAAGGCAGTGGAGGATGGCCCAGGTGCTTGGGCCCTGCACCCCATGGGAGACCAGGAGAAGCACCTGGGTCCTGCCTTTGGATCAGCGCGGTGCGCCGGCCGCAGCGCGCCAGCCACGGCGGCCATTGGAGGGTGAACCAACGGCAAAGGAAGACCTTTCTCTCTGTCTCTCTCTCTCACTGTCCACTCTGCCTGTCAAAAAATAAAAATAAAAAATAAAAATAAAAATAAAAAAAAGAAGTGAGATCACAACTAACTACATAAAAGCATCAAACTGTGCTAAGTACAAAAAACCAAGGTTTTCAAATTTTCCTAAATTTCCTAAGAACTTACAAAGGACTTTTGTATTCCTGTCGTCTCTGTTTCAACTGGCTACAAAGTGTGAAACGCAATGAATGTAAACTCTTTATTCATTACTTCACTATTTATATAATACTCATTAGAGTTGTTTTCTTCAGTGTGGGGGTTGTTTTATACTAGGGAGGACTACATTTTTGTATGGAGTGCTTTTATCTAGGACTCAGTTTTTCAAGGAAACATGCATTGTTTGTTGGTAGCCATGTTGAAGATGGATACAGGAAACAAAGAACCTTTTAAGATGACTATAAAGGGCCGGCGCCGAGGCTCACTAGGCTAATCCTCCGCCTTGCGGCGCCGGTACACCGGGTTCTAGTCCTGGTCGGGGCGCCGGATTCTGTCCCGGTTGCCCCTCTTCCAGGCCAGCTCTCTGCTGTGGCCAGGGAGTGCAGTGGAGGATGGCCCAGGTGCTTGGGCCCTGCACCCCATGGGAGACCAGGAAAAGCACCTGGCTCCTGGCTCCTGCCATCGGATCAGCGTGGTGCACCGGCTGCAGCGCGCCGGCCGTGGCAGCCATTGGAGGGTGAACCAACGGCAAAAAAGGAAGACCTTTCTCTCTGTCTCTCTCTCTCACTGTCCACTCTGCCTGTCAAAAAATAAAAAAAAAAAATAAAAAAAAAGATGACTATAGAAAGCAAAACAGTATCAGTAGAGACACAGGATTGCACCGTCCAAGTTTTGCCTTATTGAATTTTGAGCGCTTATGAATTTCCAGGTGGTTCACTTACCATTCTTAGAAATGGAGAAAGTGTTGCATCCCATTTATGAGTAATGATTCTACTCTTAGCTCTTTGGATCAGAGGTAAATGCTGAAGGAAAATCACACTGAGACAGTACATTCGGCACAGGTCTGCTGCTTCACTGAGTGTGGGTGCCTCCTTCAAATCCTGGAAAAACATGAATTTTTAAAATGTCCACTTGCACAGGCAACATAAAAACTCAGATACAAAGGTGGGCCTTTGGTGCACGGGTTGAGTCTGCTTGGACACCTACATCCCGTAACAGGTGTCTAGGATGGAGTCCCAGCTTTGCTTCCAAGACCAACTTCCTGCTAACGCCCAACCTCCTAACGTTAAGACCCCAGGTGATGACTGCCACTCAGCTGGGAGAACCACACTGAGATCAGAGCCCTGGCTTCAGCCTGGCCCAGTCCTGCTGTGGTGGGCATTTGAGAAATTAATTGGCAGATGGGCTCGCTTGCACTTGTTCTTGTTCTCTCTCTGCTCTCCCTTTCAAATAAATAAAAACAAAGAAAGAAAAAATTTTAAAGAGAAAAATACAAACAAGAAGTCAAATTTTCTTGAAAAAATTCAGACATGCAGTAACAGTATTTTAAGGCACCTTACCCAAAATTCTCCCATGTGACAATTTAATTCTTTTGGGGGTAATTTTATCTCTAGAAAAATTCTACTAAGCATGTGATGGATGAAAAACAACACAACTAGCTGTGTTGCCTAGGAGTGAAAGCTTTGCCTAATACATGGAGTTCTGAAATTCACTGTATCTAAACCTTGCATTTGATAAAATGGTAGTGGATGGCCTCTGTTTAAGGACATGTCCAGCATCTAGTTATTAACATCCTCAAGAGCAGAAGTACCAGGGGTTGCAGAAAAGCTGCTTCTTGTCACACCTGTTCCTATGTAGAACCAGGGCTGAGCACGGCTGTGCTCTATACGGTAAAGCAACGTAGCAGAACAGAAAAGGAAAAAATGGGTTGCATCCCAGCTCTGCCCCCGAGTAGCTGCTTGACTTTTACTTACCATGTAGTAGACCACCAAGAACAGTAAAAAGTCGGTGACTGTATGCCCACTACAGCAAGGATTGACAAGTAATTCAGACTCTACTAGCTCACTACTGTTACAAATAGGAGCAACCTTATCATTACAGAAAACGTGATGCTGAGCCACAAAGTGGACAGTGGGCTCATCGTCAGGTCCCACTGCCTATCGCTTTGACAAATGCTAACTTCTGTGCAATGTCACCACGTATGTGTTGAAACTGGCCCAGGAGATTGCAAGCAGCAATGATGACCAGCTCTGAGCCAGGGGACAGAAGATATGTGTCCTGTGATCAGAGATGAAAGAGGTGACAGATTCATCTCAACTATCTTATAAAGAATCTTGCCAGCTTTCATAAGAATGAGATCATAATGATATCTCCATGCTTAGCCAGCAAACATGTGATCCACACGTCGTATTTTCTGTTTGACCTTGAGCTTATGCATAGGGCCACCACCCACAAGCGCTGTCACATCATCAAAAGTGGCATGAGACAGGCTCATTGGTTTTGAAGGAGTCTCACCTGTGTATCACAGTTTTCTGTGTATGTGTTTGGGTTTTCCACGGTCTTCTAAATCTAGTAACATTTTTTTGTAGAGCTTTAGTGCCACCGAGCATGAAACGGAGCAGACAACACCTCGGATTTCAGCTCCTTGTGGCCACAGGTCCTGAAGCAAGGACAGGGTTTGATGCACCTGAAATAGAACACTTTGTCAAAAAAAAAAAAAAACAAAAAACCAGTGATTCCAAGAAACAAGATTCAAAGCTGACATAGTAATTAATTCTAGAAAAATACTGAAAGTTTATCTTTCAAAAACTTAAAGAAAAACATATAAGATAGGCCTGCAGAATTTGGAAAATGATGCTGAGCCAGTATTTCATAAGGTCCTAAGTGACATTTTAATATTAATAACTTTCTCCTGCTGATCTACAGGCCATGGCAAATCCACAGGTCTCTGTGTGATTAACCTGTGGATTCTTCAGTGTTGTCAGCCCAGACACTTGCCAGGGGCCAGTGAAGACACTGAGATGCATGGCATACACACTGCTAACGATCAACAGCTCTACTCCCATAAACTGATACGAACGACTGCTACCAAAGGCGTGATCACGAGAACCCTTGTATTTTGGGGAAAGTTGCAAAGGCGCGATAAATCACAGCGCTCAGCAAGAGATGCGGACAGGAGCAGACGGGGGCGATGGAGACTGAAGACGTTTATCTGAGTCCGTGGTGAGGCATCAGGATTTGAACCAGGAGACGCAACACCTCCTAAAAGCTCGAAACAGTCATTGAACAAGTCACCTGGTCTCAATTCTTTCACTTAAAGACGTCAGTTCAGTGTCTACATGCTATGTCGGGTCTCACAGGGGCTTTACACTAAGACTGAAAAGAGCACCCCCAGGGAGTTCCGAGCAGGAGAGCATCAGCACACATAGGCTGCCCTTTGAAATCAGAGGAACTCAGAGGATGAAATCGGCAGCCCTATTTCTACTCTGTGTGCTCCTGGGGGCCTAAGGAGCAGGGGAGGGCCACTGAGCCCCAGGAAGGGCTACAAGTTTGGGAAGGAGAGAAGGACAGGGTAACGCTTGAGCACAGGCTGTTAAAAAACCCCACCTATGTAAAACAGGAATGAGAGTGAGGACATGAATAAAACCATAGCTAGAGCCACAGTGAACGCTCCGCTGCAGCTCTAAGAGTCCCTCCCCTTCTCACAGCTGCTCAAGGAATCACCTGCATCTTTCTCCGTGCAACATTACAGTTGGTTACTTGGCTCACATAGGTTAAAATTCCTATGAAAACAAGACCCCTTTCGGTCTTGTCCGCCACTGTAAGTCCAGCACCTAGCATGACACGTGGAATGATGCATCCGTGTCACAAATATTGCTGTATGGTTAAGTGAGAGAGTGAATGCAGGGAGAATGGACAGAAGAATCCAATGACGTGGGGACTTTTAGTTCACCTTAGAATAGGGGACACTAAATATCTGGATGCTCATACGTGTACTGACTCCACAGTCAGGTGAACCCCGTCTCATCACCACGTCATGCCTAGTCTTCCAAAAACACTGTTCTATGGACTGTGGAACCACGTGAGATGGCATGATTCAGGAAATCAGAAGTACAGAGTAACCACTGGCTTAGGTTACCTTCCGGAGACGTTCCCAAAGGCCAATGGCTTCCTTGCATTTGCTAACCTCAAAGATCCCTTTCCTTTCAAGATCTGAACAATTCCCGTCTTCCAGGAAGCCAGCACCCACAAGAGCCACCTCACCCATCACAAGAGTAAGCCCTGGGATCGTTAACATTATCACAAGCACTGGCCTCTGGCCAGTATCACCACACATTGCATACAAAGTATTTTGTAGAAAATATTTTTAACCAACTTCAGGATGTTTTGATAACAATTTAGCAAGACCCTTTCTGCCTCAGAGGAATGCGGCTTGCAAGAGAACACTTCCCAGAGATGGAAGGCTAGGGAGTCAGGGGGCATGAAGGCGAGCGTAGGACAGGCCTGTTTGCTAGAAGCAATAGCCATCAAAGGTATATTTCCTACACGCTGAACTTTAGTTTTAGGAGCATAGTCATTACCTCTTTCTGCAGGTCTTCCACATTTAATTTCAAATGACCACACACAGATATTCTTGCTTCCTGTGACTTTTGGAAAACCAAGGCATGTCGCAGCTGTTTCTCATGCTACACACACAGATACAAAAAAAAAAAAAAACAAGTATGTGTACACATCACAAACCTCTAGTTAAACTAAATACAAGGTGGAAAGTCATGTTTATTTGGCTACAGGAAAACAAAAAGAAAGCCATCAATTCAAATCAAATAAACTTCCATTATGTCTTCTTGAACTAATGCTGAGGACATTGCAATCTAACAACAACAAAAAAAACCACTTCTACCTAGTTCCATAAAAGCAACTATTTAAAAAGTACCAAATGGTATGAGCACTGAGCCTTGAGACTGACACCTACATCCCACACGGGAATGCTTGGATCTGATTCCCAGCTCCAGTTCCTAACTCAGCTTCCTGCTAATGCACACCCTGGGAAACCAGTGACGGCTCAGGGAACTGGGCTCCCGCCTCCCATGTGGGAGATCTGGATTGCATTCTAGCTTCAGATCAGCTCAGCTCCAGCCGCTGCAGCCAATTGGAGAGAGAACTGGTGGATGGAAGATCTTTCCCTCTGTTTCTCCCTCTCTGTCTGCTCTCTCTGACTCTGTCAAATAAATAAATAAAAATCTTTAAAAGAAAAAAAAAATAACAAAGGAAGGGGGGGTGTGGGAGCATGGGCACGAGGGAGGGGAGGGTGGGAAGTATCACTATGCTCTAAAACTGTACAGATAAAATTTGTCCATATTACAAAAACAAAAAAATTATTAAAAAAAACTATGCATGTTCAATTTTTTGCACCAAACTTAGCATCTTTAATTCCATTTTCCATGAACATTTTGAAGAACTCTCCTAGGTAATACATATTCAAACAAGTACACATCTGAGTGTGTGTCCCTATGAGCTGTCACGTGCACACATATTTGTATAATTTATGCAGGAGAAACAGAATTTCCCACCTTGGTGCTCTCATGTCTGGTTTCTCTGGGTTCCTCCCCTCCATTTCCTTTTTTTTTTCTCTCTCTCTCTCTCTCTCACTGTCAGTGGACAGTGAGAGAGAGACAGAGAGAAAGGTCTTCCTTTTCCATTGGTTCACCCCACAATGGCCGCTGCGGCTGGTGCACCGCACTGATCCAAAGCCAGGAGCCAGATGCTTCTCCTGGTCTCCCGTGCTGGTGCAGGGCCCAAGCACTTGGGTCATCCTCCACTGCACTCGGGGCCACAGCAGAGAGCTGGCCCGGAAGAGAGGCAATCGGGACAGAATGCGGGGCCCTGACCGGGACTAGAACGTGGGGTGCCGGCACCGCAGGCGGAGGATTAGCCTAGTGAGCTGTGGCGCTGGCCTCCATTGCCTCTTGCCCTTGAACTTGGCCCACACCCTTCTTCCTCATCTCACCGAATCACCCAAAGGCTTCATCCCCAACAAGAATTTCTCTCTTTGCCAAAACTCAGAACTCACTTCTACAAACCTGACTTGTAAAGCCAGAGCAAAACCTTCCTGCTTTCCACGTTAAAAGATTCCTTCAGAGCCTTCCTAGGCCCAACCTCTTGAACAAGGACTCACATTATCAGGGTTGTTTCTTCCACATTTACACAGCTCACTTCTTCTTAGGCAGTTCAACTTGACTTACCATTTCAAAGAATTGTCTGTGCTCAAAGCGACTTGAGGTATGATATCCATAAATTCTAAGGACATCCGACTCTAGCCCCAAGGGCTGTACTATATTGATTTTCTTCTGAAGAGCATGAATGATAAAAATGTTTAAAAAATCTGTTTGTCGAGCGGTGATTCCTTCGTCTGAGACGACCAAGAAATGCGGGTAGCATTCCTCAAGAAATGTGTTCCATTCTGGAGACAAACAATTGGAAAACTCGGTATGAACAGTGACATCAGTATTGTATTCTAAATGTTGAATCAGGGCAGTACGAAGGGCCAGAAAATGAGGGCAGTTAAAATATATATTTTCTGCATCCTGTAAAAAAAAAAAAGGAAACAAGTGTTAGTATTAGAGATAAAAAATGAGTGTCTAGTTATTTTTGTGAAGCTTATGGGAGTTACTGTGCTAACATGATAGAAAGAGCTAAGATGATTAAACATGTTCTACGCAGCCTCTACAAGTGTAAGTAGATAAGAACACACTCAGTGGCCATTCTCCTCTGTACAACATTTACTATTAGCCCTTTCAGCAGAGCCTCTAGTTACAGACTGAAGAAGCAATATAGCTAATAGTTAAGTAATGATGGGCCACGTTTCGAAATGATTGACTCTGTTTCCAAGATGAGAACGGAGAACGAAATATCTGTTACCTTAAAAAAGACGATTACAAATCTGGCTTCCTTTTGAATGAAGTCGTGCAGAAACCGCTCCATAATGTAGAAGAAGTGGAGGGTTTGCCCCATCTTGAGGTTCACATGGAGAGCACAAGTGAGGAGTAAGGAATCTCCATCAATCAAAAAAAATTCAGATTCAACGAAGTCTTTCAGCAAGCTGACCCTCCTGAATAAAATACAGAACAGGCGGAGACTGTGGACAGAGCAGCAGCCTCAGAGAAAACCTACAGTTTGATTGGGTGGGCAACTCTTCTTCCAGTCTAAGAAATTTAAAGAAAAAACTAAGCATAAATTTCTGTTATCTTTAACAGTTTTCCAGGGCACTTCCATGATTTTGATAATAGAATAAGCCCCTGGTTGGAGCCTGACATCCTAAGAGTGGAACTGCAACTCACTTCAGTGTACGCGTATGCTTAAATTTATGCAAAAAAAATTCATCTCCACATACATTTTAGATTGACAGGCTTACTGTTATGTACTTCAAATGTGAAACACTAAATCAGTCATTATCCTTGTTCAGTTATATGCTGTTTATTTATTCAGTTCAGTTATTGCTTTTTAAGCTAATGTACAATCAACATCTGTGACGTCTTCACTCAACCCAGCAACAAAAAGATTTTTCTTTTTTTTTTTTAATTTTTTTTGACAGGTAGAGTTAGTGAGAGAGAGAGAGACAAAGAGAAAGGTCCTCCTTCTGTTGGTTCACTCCCCAAATGGCCACTACGGCCGGTGCTGCGCCGATCCGAAGCCAGGAGCCAGGTGCTTCTTCCTGGTCTCCCATGCGGGTGCAGGGCCCAAGCACTTGGGCCATCCTCCACTGCACTCCCGGGCTACAGCAGAGAGCTGGACTGGAAGAGGGGCAATCGAGACTAGAACCCGGTGCCCAAGATTTTTCATAACTTATATCTTCCCAGTGAGTCGTTTCCAAAGCTCATTACCCAGCCTCTCCCCTCAGAGGCTAGCCACTGCCTTGAATTCAATTTTACTCAGTCTCACTTCACTTTTTAAGTTCTTATGATGTATATTATGCTTAATTTGTAATTTTTATCAGAAACGCATCCCACGCCTTTTCTGAAATTTCTTTGTTTAACTCAAGTACTAATTACGATTAAAATCCCGCATGTGGTTATAGGATGCTATGCTTGAACTACTGCACTGTGATGTGTACATCATAACTGATTCTGTGTCCTCCTTCCCATGGGCATCTGACTTGTTTCTATGCATTTTTTGATACTGCCAACTGTGCTGCAAGGACTATTCTCATAGCTTCCTGAAACACAGGTTTCCTCAATGCCCACTCGACTGAACTCAGGCAATGGAATTACTGAGTTGCAAGTTATAGGGTAGCACCAAGCGGTTTCCAAAGTCATCACAGAGCTACACAGGCCTTAGCAGGTATCAGAAGTTATTCCAGCTACATCTGGTGGTGTATAAAAACAAGAACTGCTAGGACGTGGGTTGTTACTAGATATAATTCCTTTTAATTAAAGGAAAGCATTTGGCCTATCTGTTAGGATGCCTATAACCTACATGCGAGTGCCTGGATTTGAGTCCTGGTTTCAGCTACCAATTCCAGCTTCCTGCTAAAGCACACCCTGGGAGGCAGTGGTGATGGCTCAAGTAGCTGGCTCCCTGCCACCCACACGGGAGACCCACACTAAGTTCCCAGCTCCCAGCATTGACCAAGCCCAGCCCAGCAGTCCCAGGCATTTGAAGACTGAACCAGCAGGTGGAAACTAACTCTCTCTCTCTCCCCTTCCCCCTCCCTCTCTCCTTCTCTCCCTCTCTCCCTCTCTTTTCCATCCTGCTCCTCTCAAACTAAAAACTCAAACACAGTAGGAAAATGTTAACTCTATGTATTCTTTCAGAATTCACTTCCGCAAATTTCAACACATAATGTTTTGGCTAAGACCAAATGCTCTGGATTCTAAGCCTGCTCCTACGTGACTTTAGACAAATTGCTTGTCTATCCTGTGCTACAGTTTCTTGACTTGCAAAAAAAAAAAAAAAAAAAAAGAATTCAGAACAGCTAATCCTTCAAACAATTGCTGTGAGGATTAATGAGATAAACATGAGTGGTTAGAACCAAAATATGTTTAGGCCATAATCTATACTTAAAATATGCTTGTTATAAAGAATGTTTTGAGTTTTTATTTTACTTTGTAGTTGAATATAATTGGTATTGTAGTATTATAAATTCCATTTTGATTCTAAACTTATTCTATTGTAAATTAATTGAGAAAATTGGAATGAGGCACCAAATGCCAAGATTAGACTCAATAAACCACCAGTGGCAGGAACATTTTTACTCTCTTCACTGTGGTGTGCAAAGTCCCTAGCACATTAGCAAGCACACACAAATGGTTGTCAGGAAAACAACACACACACTGGCGTGGTGCAGTCATCGTTGCTGATATTATAGAATGTTTCACCGTTGGTCAACTTGTGCCAAAGTCAGTTTCATGAAACTTGCGCAATGTTTTAAATGGTATACAATGTTAGTTAAACAGCTACTTTATTATTGTGCAGTATTAAAAGAAAATTGAGTCTTTTCTCCACTTATACCCCTCTTCAAATTCTTCAATAACTTACTCCTGGCTACCGAATGACTTAGACCATAACATTTCCCAAGGAAAGATTTCTCTATTTTTAATAACATTAACTTTTTACCCCATTGGAAGGTTATACAAAACAACTTAGCAGGAAGAAAATTTAAAAAAAAATATGCCATGCAGAGGGAAATAACATGTCGTGATGTGTGACTTTGAACTATTTGTGTTATACTTACTCGGATTTTGACAGGTGGGCCCAAAGGTACCTGGAGAGTTTCTTTAGAATTTCCCCACATTCAGTTAATCCTTTCAAAATAAATAACAGAGGTTTAATATTCATTTTTTTAAAGATTTATTTGTAAGGCAGAGCAACAGAAGGGAGGGAGAGATCGACCCAGGAGCCCAGAACTCTGCTTAGGTCTCCCACATGATAGCAGGGGCCCAAACATCTGGGCCATCTTCCATTGCTTTCCCCGGCACATTAGCAGGGAGCTGGATTGGAAGTGGAGCAGCCAGGACTCGAACTGGTGCTCACAGGGGATGCTGGCATTGCAGGCAGCAGCTTAACCTGCTGTGACACAACACTAACCTCTCATATTCAGTTTTAAAAGACAACTTCTGCTGATGACTTTGACTAAATTTGTATTTTATGCAAAGCTGCAAACACATCAATGGAACGTTCCTAAGAATGTGAAAGACACATCGCTGTCTCCATAATGACAGCCTGCCTACCCCACTCACTAAACAGAATGATTGTGGGCCAGGGCAGCCAAATCATACAGTTTTGAAATTAGCTTTTTCATAAATTCTCAGTCACAAATGAATTTTATGATATACATAAATCTTTAAGAAATCTGCAAAATACAAATGTAAACAAAACTTGAGCAATGTGCCACTTCCAAAGTTAATTCATGTGAATATTTTATATGGAGAGACACAGAGAGAGAGAGAGAGAGAGAGATGTTAAATAAACATCTTTTAATTAAAGGAAAGCATTTGGCCTGTTAGGATGCCTATAACCTACATGCGAGTGCCTGGATTTGAGTCCTGGTTTCAGCTACCAATTCCAGCTTCCTGCTAAAGCACACCCTGGGAGGCAATGGTGATGGCTCAAGTAGCTGGCTCCCTGCCACCCACACGGGAGACCCACACTAAGTTCCCAGCTCCCAGCATAAATAAATAAATAAATTTCTAAATATAAATTATATATATAATATATAATATATAATATATTATATATAATATAATATAATATATATAATATATATAAATATATAAAATATATATAAAATATAATATTATATATTATATATATAATATATATTATATATAATATAATATAATATATAAAATATATATATAAATATAATATATATATAATAATATAATAATAATAATAATAAAATAAATTTCTAAATATCTACATCTACCTTCAAAAGTTCTGCCACGGTGCCGCGCTGTGACGCAGTGGGCTAAAGTCCCAGCCTGCAACACTAGCATGCCATCTAGCATCAGTTCGAGTCCCGGCTGCTCCACTTCCCATCCAGCTCCCTGACAATGCTCCTGGGAAAGCAGCAGAGGGTAGTCCAAGTGCTTAGGCCCCCTGCACCCACGTGGGAGACCCAGAGGGAGTTCCTGACTCCTGGCTTAGTCCTGCCTATTGAGGCCATTTGGGGAGTGAACTAACGAAAGAAAGATTGATCAATCTCTCTCTCTCCCCTCTCCTTTTCCCCATCTTCCACCCTCTGTATCTCTTCTTCTCTGTTGTGTCATTCTACCTTGGAAATAAATAAATAAATAAATCTTTTCCCAAAGAAGAGGAGAAGCATGAAAGAAACTCACATGCATGGGTAATCTCTCACCTGATTCTCCCAACTGACAGCTGTTCTCAACTGTAGCTTCAGCTCCTGGAGGTGTCTCTTCATTGATTTCAAACTGCAGTTGCCTGGAAGTTGGCTCTTCTACGACTGCCTTCTGAGCTCAGGTCATCTTCTTCTTCAAATTGATCAAAAGAGGACACGCTCTCCGTGGTCTCACTGGCTTCAGAGCTATCATTTTCAGTGTCACTGTCACTGTCACTGGAGCTTGACTTTTCACCTGCCACAGCAGGTGCAGTAGCCATGATCTATAAAAGCAAACCTATTAAGCATTACCCATTTTTTAAAAATAAGATATCACGATAGTTCACTCATTCAACAGTAACATCTGCTTTATTACTTCTCTCTCTAAATCTTCCCAGTTCGTATTTACCCAAGAGTATATTTTTCACAATCCTTCCCCCAATATGTTTGCTGCAAGTCATTCAAAAGAAAATGGTGTGGGGAAGGCACTGTGGCATAGCGAGTTAAGCTGCCGCCTGCAGTGCCAGCATCCCATATGGGTGCTGGTTCAAGCCCCAGCTGCTCCACTTCTGATCCAGCTCTCTGCTATGGCCTGGGAAAGCAGTGGAAGATGGCCCAAGTGCTTGGGCCCCTGCACCCATGTGGGAGACCCAGAAAAAGCTCCTGGCTCTGGATCGGCACAGCTCTGGCCATTGTGGCCAACTGGGGAGTGAACCAGTAGATGGAAGATCGCTCTCTCTCTCTCTCTCTGCCTCTCCTTCTCTCTGTGTGTAACTCTGACTTTCAAATAAACAAATAAATCTTAAAAAAAGAAGAAGAAGATGGTGTGGCACCACTGCATGGCACAAAACACTTCTGAAAATACCTGAAGCTGCTTCAAAAAGCCTGTGAAAAATTGAACTAAAAGGACTTTTTTTTTTTTTGTAAAAGCAATGAAATCCATGCATGGTTTTTTCATAATAAACATTTCCCACAAACTTTTTAAAGTCCTCTCATGCATGAAAGTCACATTTACAGAGAGAAAAAAATAATGTCTACAGAAGGATGTGAAGCAAGAAATCTAGAAAATGGTAGAAAGTTATGTTCGCACCTTCCTTTTGGAAGAGTCTCCAAAGACAAATTCACAGCATTTGAAGCGTTACTAAGTCATACTCTCTCTCACAGTTGAGCGCACAGTCAGCCAGCTTACACTGAATTAGCATCCAATTAACATGAGGGAGTTGTTGGTTTCTGCGCGCTCAATGACTTTCGGGGCGTCCTCAGCTGAGGTTCTGAAACGCGCACTCTCTTACTCGAATCAGCGTATGTACCCTCGCTTTCTGTGTCCTTTCACCAGGAAATACTGCAGGAGCGGCCCCAGCAGAGGTGCCAACAGTGAGACAGTGTCTTCTGGCCGGAAGAGCTCATCACGTCATTGTATACTGAAGCACTCCTGCTCTCAGGAGTTGAGGTCATTCTTAAGTCCAGGCACTCTACTGCGGGATGTGGTCATCCTAATTGGGCTCTTCATTGCTGGGTCAAATGCCCACCCCACTTTAAATGGCCTCTTGCAAGATGACCCCAAGGGAATGAATTATTAGCCGTGTAGATACTAAGCTGTGGACACCTCTGTGGTGCACCTCTGTGTTGGCTCTTCCTCTTGCTCCACCTCATTCTTCTTGACCTTGGATTTCCTGAAACTGTGCATCTTAATAAATTATTAGCACTTTTTTTTTTTAATCTCAGTCTCTGCTTTCTTGGGAACCTTGACCAAGAGCATTGAGATCAGGAGTGGTCACTGAGAGTCTGTCTTCAGGACTGAATCGTGCAGCTGGATCCCTCCCTGGTGGAAGGTGCATGGTGACCCTGTTGCTGGGGCTAAGACAGGCGCCCATAACCTTGGCACACAGCAGGATCACAGTCACTAATGCTTTACTCTGTGCTTAATTCTAATGAAGCACAGGTGGAGGGTAAGGCACTGAAAAAAATGCTTTAGGCTGCAGCGCTTGAAAGTATGGGAGCAGGGGCCGGCGCTGTGGCGTAGCAGGTAAAGTCGCCACCTGCAATGCCAGCATCCCATATGGGCGCTGGTTCGAGCCCCGGCTGCTCCACTTCTGATCCAGCTCTCTGCTGTGGCCTGGGAAAGCAGTGGAAGATGGCCCAGGTCCTTGGGCCCCTGCATCTGCGTGGGAGACCAGGAAGAAGCTCCTGGCTCCTGACTTCAGATTGGCTTAGCTCTGGCCATTGCTGCCAATTGGGGAGGGAACCAGCAGATGGAAGCTCGCTCACTTGCTCTCTCTCTCGCTCTCTCTCTCTCTCTGCCTCTCCTTCTCTCTGTAACTCTGACTTTCAAATAAATAAATTTCTAAAAAAAATTATGGGAGCAGTGATGATTTTCTTCCATCCATAACACCAGAAAATTTTTACAAAGAAACATAGATTGAGGGCATCCACCAGCCAACTTAAGGCGTGTCCTGAAATTCAGAACACCTCAAGACAGATTTTTGAAGGCAGGCTCTCCTCTCCCTACTGCTCAGGGCAGAGTGTGATGAAAATCATGCTTAGAATCTCATACACAGCCTTGGCAGGTGTCCATTTTTTTTTTCTTGATAGGAAAAAAAAATGTAGGATAGGTATTTAGGTCAACAATCTCATGCATGTTGAACCCCCAATCCCTCAAAAATTCTTCAGGCTGATGAAGCTGCCCGCCCCCTCTTGCCAAGGGATAACAGCCTCTGCTCGCTCCACGCCAATGAGCCACACCACCAAATGAGGTTCACTTTCCCGGAGACCTGTACCTACCCCTTCCACCGACTCCAGGCAGTCACCCAGAGCTCCTCCTTAACACCGCCTATGTGGAAAGTGCAGTCCCTGCTCTACGAGGAAATAGCTTAGCTGGCAGAGGGACTGAGGGGCTGGCTACTGCATTTCCTCAGGACTGAGGGTGCCTTTGCAAGTAGATCACAGAGGTGCTGAACAAGGGATGCCGGTAGCAAATATAAGGCTGAAGGGGAGAATTCATGGACGTGAGAGCAGTGAACAGCCTACCGAAAAAATCAAGCAAATGGATGCCCATTCAAGCACACCTGCTCTGTACTGAAGCACATCACTATAGCCTCTGGCACTTGTCATGGGGCTGCCACACTGGTAAATCCATTTGTTTCCTACTCCTATCCATAAAGAAGATAGAAAGTAGCACACATTCACCTAGGAAGAATGTCATTTTTTTCTCAGGGCTCTGTTAAATTCCCTGTTCACTACCACAGTACAGCAGGTACCTTGACCAGCATGACATTTCAGAGAACATCATGCTGGCTTTCTGTACTGATGATTTATCATGTACTATTAGGACACAATTCTTTTTTATTTTATTCATTTAGTTGAGAGATAGAAAGAGAGAGAGAGAGCACGCACGCATCCACCGGGTCACTTCCCAAATGCGGGCAATGGAAGGGCTGGGCTGGGTAGAAACCAGGAGCTAGGAACTCGGGCCAGGTATCCCAAGTGGGTGGCAGAGACCTAACTACTGGAGCCATCACTGTTGTGTCCAGGATCTGCATTGGCAGGAAGCTGGAAACAGAAGCAGGAGCCAGGAACCACACCCAGGTCCTCCCGTGTGGAACGCGGGTGTCTTAACACTGTGCTAAACACTCATCCCAAGACACATTCCGTGAGGCTCAATTGCCTGCCACAATCCTTCACATGTAAGCATTAGGATCTCCAAAAAGTTCATGGAAATAAGTATTATGAAAAAAACTACACATGGATTTCAAATATCTTGTGCCAAAACAAAGTGAATTTGAAATTCCGTTTTCCACTAAGTTTTGAAAGTGTTTTCACACATGTGTCTTCACCCCCTTCTCCTCTCTGATACCCACAGTCAATTTCTAATGGCTTCTGTCTTGCATAAACTGTTCCCTTTGTGTTCCAGGCTCGACCATGCCTGCTCTCTCCTGGACCTTGTCTAAAGGTTGCCTCCCTCTTCCACATGATCTCCTCCCCCACTTTTTTTTTTACCTGGCGTCTTCCCCTTGGTGTCTAAATATAGCCACAGCTACTCCATCCTATAATAATCCCACTGCGACCTCTGTTCTTCTCCTCAATTTCCTTTCTTTACCTCCCTTTCTTTACCTTTCTATCACTCTCCTCCTGAATGGCAACCCAGCAGCTCATGGTCTTTCAACAGAAGTCCTGTGCCATCATCCATGTCAATGAGCGTTGGAAGGATCTTATGATTCCTCACCCAATACTATCATCATCAGGAAGAGTCAATGATTGCATAACTGAGAAATCATTTTATCTCTCTGTGTCTGAGTTCCTTTGTCTTTAAAATAAAAAGTTAAAAACTAACTTCCTTCTAAAAGCAAAAGCGTATAAATAGAAAATGGGAAGATGTAAAGTGCTGACCATTTCTGCCACAAATCCATAAATGTTCAGCACTTCCTGGCTCTTTTTTTTTTTCAGAAAGTAAAGTTTCCTATAAATATAATTTCATCTTGATGAATACCGACTTCATTAATTAACTTACTCAATCATCATGTAGGGGACATTTACTATAATGTCTGACACTATTCTAGGCAGTAGCCTTGAAGTCATCAACTCCAGAAAGGGCGTGGTCTGGAGAAGTAGAAAGATAAGTTAGCAGATGAATCACAAAGCAGCATGAGTGCTGTGGTATAAGCTAGGGGACGGATCTGGCGCTGTGGAAGCTTAAATCAGGAAGTGCTTGGGACAGCTGAGTAAGACTTCTCAGGTTATGCAATATTCAAACTTTAGCTTGAAAAGGTATTAGAAGGTTGGTGGGTGGGAGCAGGATAAAGCATTCCAGGAAGAGAGAACAGCATTAGGAGGTCAACAGTTAGGAGTTCAACAGGAGACCTGAGAAGGCAGAGTTGGAACGAAGCACCTGCCCCAAGCTTGCTCAGTGTGAGCCTCTAACAGGGAATCAAAACCCTCCCTAGTCTCCAGATAGAAGAGGCATGAATGATTCTGTCAAGCCCACTCATGAATTCCATCAAGAAGGAACCATACTCAGACATTCACATTTGTCTGCACCGGTATGATCCATACAATCAGCAGCTTCCAGGGTGGGCATCTGACCCAGTGGCTAAGCCAACACTTGGGATGCCCACAGTTCATAT